GGATTTATTTGCTTGTTGATGCTTTAACTGAGATTCCTGCGTTGCAGGGGGTTGGACTAGATGGTCCCTGTCAACTGTACAATTATACAATTCCATTATTCTGTGATTTTTTAAGAGTTTCCTGATGCCAAACCCTCTAGATAACATACAATCAAGTTAGATAAAAATATTCAACAAAATCAATACAGCTTTTTAAAACAACAACAACAAAGAATAAAAAGGGGGAATGAATAGCAACTAAAGTCAGTAGGGGAGACAGTGGTCACGCCCATAGCGTACATTTGAAGAACTATTGTGTCACTTTTAACAGTCATGGCCTCCCCCAAAGAATCCCGGGGGGTGATTTGCAGTGTGTGTGTGTGTGTGTGTGTGTGTGTGTATTCTAACAACTCTAAGCACCCTTAGCAAACTGCAGTTCCCAGGAATATTTTGGGGAACTAATGACATTAGAGTGCTTTTAAATGTATGCTGTGAATATGTCCTCTGAATCAAAGCCACAGGACAGGCATACGAAACCAAAGAAGTTCTCCTGCCTGATTTCAAGTTTGTTGGAGGGACATTGTTGCAGGCACTTTTCAGATGCATGTCAGCCATAAAGGCTAGATAGTTTTATGTTTTAAAGCTATATAGCCAGGCTGCCCTTGTGTGTTTTTTGTTTGTTTGTTTGCTTGCTTGTTTGAGCAGTGATTCCTCAGATTTCTGCAGATATATACTCTCCCTACCTCCTTTCTATACCCCAATTTCCTTCCCTAGCTTCTGTATTCATTGTCTCACGTCCTCCAGACTGTTAGTATTTTCCCAGAAGGGTTCCAGTCCATACTGGAACTTTAGATTTGCACATTTTAGATGGATGAATGGGCTGTACTTCCCTAGCTCAACAAATCCACATTTATTTATTTATTTATTTATTTATTTATTTATTCGTTCATTCATTCATTCATTTTAGATTTGGGGAGTGACAGTGAAATGCATTGAAAAGTGTGAGATGAACAAATGATTAACAGAAAGTTGTGTAAGCACCCCACAAGTAAGTTATGATGAATGCTCATTGTCATCTAACTTCCCTGCAAACAAATCAGAACAAATGTTCAGTAAAAACTTAATATAATCTAACATCCCTGCAAGCTTTGTGCAAGCAAATCAGGATGGATCCTGAATTAAATAGGTTAACTGAAGGGGCCCTCTGTCTGCCTATTTATTCCAGTAGTGGGCTGACTCCCCCCCCCCTTTTTCCTGTTTGTCTTCTGATGGATGGGTAAGTTATTGATTCATCCCCCTCATTGTGTGTCTGTGTGACACACAAATGGATATATATTTTAATAAGTAAATTTTTGATACACCCTGTTCACTGCTTCTGCAGCAGGCACAGTATTCCAGAAAAAAAGTGAAGTGTGTGTAGAATCACTCAAAACAAGCAGCCCTTTAGAAGATCCCTGGGGCATGGAATGTGGCAGAAAAAGGTCTGGTTTGTCTCCTTCATGCACATCAGTCTCTTCCCCATGTGCTCAGAGGCTTTGCCTGGAGAACCTGCCAGCCGTTTTCTCCAAAGCAACCTTTTGTTCTCAGCTTCCTCTGGGTATGGCAGTCAGCCCTCTCCTGTTTCATTGTCACCTGCTCTTGTCAGACCTTCATATTTAAATAATAATCCTTCTATCATATCAGACGGTTCAATGGAAGAATCCTGCTTGATACATAACAGCCCTTTCTCTGTTTTCTTTCACTGTGGCAAAAGAAGGAGAATGCCAGCTTGTTCATCTCATTTGAACACTTGGTTTCCCTCTTGTCTGTTCTCACTCACTCATACTCTGACGAGGTTAATATTTAATACATCCAGCTGCTCAGTCAAGTCCACCAAGCCTTCTGCCTTAGTGGTTGCAGCACCAGTGACAGTTTTCACCTTGCTTGAAAAGGGTGACCCTACTTTACTTAGGAAAGTACTGTTTATGTATGCGAGGACAGCAGCAAGAATACTGTTTGCCCAGGGATGGAAAGAAGAAAGAGTCCCATCGAAAGGAGAATAGATAATGAAGATGATGGACTCTGCAGAGATGGCAAGGCTGACTGGGAAGATCAGGGACCAAGAAGATAATAAATTTAATAAAGAATGGCATAACCTTGTAAAATATATTAAAGAACGCTGTAAAAATCTAAAAACGTTAGCAGGATTGACATAGCAGTTGTAATTTAAAATAACAAAGGATAAAAATGAAGTACAATAATTTGGATAAATGCAACTAGTTGCAGTTAAAAGGAAGACACATTTTGGAAGCCAAGAGAGGGGTGGAGGGAAGTCCAGGGGTTCAGGGAACCCCATAAAGGTACTGATATTGACTATGGTTTAATGTAAATGTCTGTTTTAAAAATTGTGGTTTTTCTTCTTTTTGAAACTTTGAAAATACTTTTTTAAAAAAGGAAAAAGAAAACGGTGACCCTTTCTCTATCCAGCTGTTGCCACCAGACTCTGCCACTCTCTCAGTGTTATTTTTAGCCTTTAAAGTGCTAGACCACCATGGACCTGGTTATCTCAAAGGCTTCCTTCTCCCATATGGACCCTCCTGTATTTTAAGACACTTTTGGAAACTACGTGCCTTTATATAAGCAAGCATGAGAGATAGGGCGATCTTAGTGGTTCCATCTGGAATACCTTCCTGATGGAGATTTGACAGGCTCCCTCTCTGCTGTCTTTTAGACAGAAACTGAAAGCCCACGCCCCTTTAAAGGTAGACTTTTAAATACAGTGTTACAGGCTTGGAGGGTCAGTCTGTGTGATCCTGGGTATTTGTTTAGAATCTAGTAGAAGAGGCTGCTGAACCAGTCAGACAAGTTTGATAATGGCATTACCTGGCCAGATAAGTACCATGATTTACATATCCAAGACACATAACTGGGCCTTTTCTTACCACACCTGGTTGAATGCCACTTCATTTTGGGATGGGGAATAAAAGGGCAAGTGTGTGTGTGTGTGTGTGTGTGTGTGTGTGCAGTATGTGAGGTTTGCGGGGTTTTTTTGGCTTATGCTGGAATCTTGAGATCCCTGGAATCCTAATGGGAAAGCAAGATCTGCTGGGGCATTAATGTGGTGAGCCCCTCTATCCTATACTCAGGTGGATATATGTGTAAATAAAACCATGTATGCTAAAGACACCACAGTCTCCACTGACCTTCATTCCAAGGAAATAGAACCCTGGGTGAGCTGAGGCACTCCTGGAATCTCTCTCCACTCAGATATTGGGATGTATGCAACAAGATGATTTCTGAAACTGGTTTGTTTATTTGTGCTTGTTAAACTAGTGGGACTGTTCTTTCATTCAATTAAAACAGCACCAAAGCAGCACATGGAAACTAGATTAGCATGTTGAGAGGGAATTGCTAGTCTAAAACTCAATCACTCTATTTTTCTGTGTGCAGGGAATTGAGGCCCCATGTGTAGTTGTGGATTAACTTGATAGTTTATCACCTCTGAAGGAAAAGCCTCTTGTGCTCTTTGTATCTGGCAGCAATACAAAGAACAGAAAAAGAACAACCCCCCCCCCTCCTCATATAAGTAGCTTTAATTTCATCCCCTTTAGCTTCACCAGTGGGCACGCTGAGCTAGTTTTAACAGCACCTTTCTCCTCCAAGGGAAGAAGCAATGCTGTCAACCTATTTCGAAACCATCAATGACCTTCTCTCCTCCTTCGGGCCAGTTCGAGACTGCTCGCGCAACAATGGTGGCTGCACCCGAAACTTCAAGTGTGTGTCAGACCGCAAAGTGGATTCGACGGGCTGTGTGGTATGTACTCCTCTGAATTCCTCAGAAAGAGAAACAGCATATGAAGCTAGGGGATGGAAAAAATGATTTGGTTAATACTGGGGTTCAGATCCTACCTAGGGTTCAGCTAGGTGTTGGTATCCTGAACACGCATTGTATGCTAAGGTTGCTTGTCCAACTTAGGGATTAGCCAGGCAGTAGCATCCTGCACATTCATTTGGGCACTGGGTTAAAGGTCCCACTTAAGGTTCAGCTTGTAATTCTCTAATTTGGCAACTGGGAGTACAAAAGTGACCTGGTAAAAATGGGGAGATGTACATCCTCAGCACAACTGCTATGGATAAAAAGGTAAAGGGACCCCTGACCATTAGGTCCAGTCGTGACCAACTCTGGGGTTGCGGCGCTCATCTCACTTTGTTGGCCGAGGGAGCCGGTGTATAGCTTCCAGGTCATGTGGCCAGCATGACTAAGCCGCTTCTGGTGAACCAGAGCAGCACACTGAAACGCTGTTTACCTTCCCGCTGGAGCGGTACCTATTTATCTACTTGCACTTTGACGTGCTTTCGAACTGCTAGGTTGGCAGGAGCAGGGACTGAGCAACGGGAGCTCACCCCATCGCAGGGATTCGAACCGCCGACCTTCTGATCAGCAAGTCCTAGGCTCTGTGGTTTAACCCACAGGGCAAGTGTAATTAATTAAATGTTAAAGCTTCCAACAGAAAGTGCTTATTGGTATCCTGGCTTCATCCCTTTTTCGGCATGATTTAAGCATCACACAAATTCAAAGAGTTCCTTTCTCCAGGTCCTTGCAAATCTCCTTCTTCCTCAAAAAGATGCCCTCATTGCAGGGATTTTTGGACTAGATGACCCTCAGAGTCCCTTCCAACTCTTCAGTGCCATTATTTTTTCTCTTCCCCCCTCCCTGCAACAAGCAAAGTGTTGGAAACATCAGACTGATCTGGATTTGGTTACTGAGGATATTTATGTCACTGATAATGTACAAAGTTGCTTAAATCAAACTGCTTTATTTTTTCAGTGACTGTTTCTCACATTGTCCCTCCTCCCCAATTTGTCTGACACTTTACCCTACAATCTGTGCCTTTCAGATATTGCCATCTGGGTGGAGAGAGAGGGATGACGACTGTACTGGACCACCTTTAGAAGTCAATATGCATTATGACACTAGAAGGGATTCATGGAATCCTAGAATTGGAAAAGGTCCTGAGAGTCATCTGGTCCAACCCCTGCAATGCAGGAATATGGGGCTCACACCTACAACCCTGAGATTAAGAGGCTCACGCTCTACCGACTGAGCTACCCCAGTCGGAAGGAACTGATGATAAATATGGCAGCCCCACCTCCCTATTTACATTGTGTGAGGTGCTGATAGCGGGAATTGAAATCCATGTCATCCAGCAGGGATAGGAGCCCTCCCTCCCCTATCCTCCCTCAAAATAGCTGCATCTGTACTGAAAGGGATGCAGAATTCGGACTTCCGGGTCAGCGCCATTGGTGAATGGCGGAGTTCCTCCGACCGGAGGAACGGGCTCCGTGGAAACTGGGTCTTCCCGCCGCGGCAAAGGTGGGGACCCGCTAGAAATCCCAGGCGGAGGAAGCCTGGGAACGTGGGGTTCGGCAGGGCACCAGAAGCGCCCCCCTACTCGCGGGGAATCCCGTCTAGGGGCTCCGGAGCGAAGTGGGGTGAGAAGCGCGGTGCTGCGAACTGACTGCTACTTTCACGGAGTGAAGCTGCACAGCCATTGCCAGAGAGCGCTGACTTTTTCCTGTGGACAATTGGACTTAAAACAAGTACCCGTGAGTAGAAACGGAAAATTGGATCAAGAAATTGTTTAATTTGGTATCGAAGCGGGAAGGTGCAAACAGGAAGTCCGCCTTCGGTTTTTTTGTATATAGACTAAAGCAAAAATTTTGCAAGCTAAAGCCAGGAAGCTGTCAAAAAAGACTAAATTTCCTTCATTCAGAATTACTGAAACCCCCCTTGGAAGCAGGAGAAAAGGGGGGGGACTCTGTTTAATCCTAGCAGGAGAGGGAGTGAAGAAGGATAAGTTTCCACCGTCTCTAACCTGGGAATGGGGTGTCAGAGACAGAAACTGTTGGAGAGGTTCATTGACTGTGAATGTAATACTTTGACAGATAGCTAATGAAGAGAAACAAGTTGATTCTAATGTTGCCTTTTGCATTTTAAAGAAACAAAATATCTGAAAAACATCTGAAATATCTGAAAAATGAAAGTAACTTTCCTTTGTCTTAAAAAAAAAAATGGATACAAATAGTTTGTCTCCTCTAGAGGGAGCTTGCTAAATTGTTGCTGCAGGATATTTGAGACCTAACATCTGTGAGATTAAGACCGTGGGAACAGTCTTTTCTAACCTTGAACAAAGATGAGCTGGAAGGAAGACTGGGTGCTTGCTTTACGCAAGACAAATGCTTTGCTGGAACAGATACATGAGAAGATGGACTTGATGAATGAGAAATTGGATTTGACTGTTGTGGTTAATAACTGTGGACAAACTGGGAACATTGATACAGAAATCATTCAGGAACCAACCTATGAATCTGTACTGACTGGGCAAGTGCAGATGACAATGGAGGAGGATGCGGCTGCACCTCAAATAGTACAAATGGAGAGACCCGAGGCCCTACAGGAGCTTAAGCCGCTGTTATTGAAGACTGAAGTTGGAGTGGGCCAAGGGGAGTCTGGAGATGAGGAGGTTCCCAGCTTTGGAGAGATCTTGAAATTTGATTTTAAATTCATTTTGGATTATATTGAGGACTGTGGGGAGTGGGACTGTGGGGAATGGGCGAGCTGGATGAAGGGCGATGGAGACAATTTTGAGTTGGAACTCCCCAGAGACCTACTCCTCAATGAGAAAGGAAAGAAACTAAGACAGAGACCAACAAAAGACAAGGAAAAGGGCAAGCACAAACAAGATGAAGAAGAATTGCAGAAGGGACATGGAAGAGACTTAAGGGCCTCGGACATAAGGCTTCCAGGTTGATGGACTAGATGGAATGGACAGTAAGGACTGACACGACCCGAGACCAGGAAGAAGAGACGCTGGATGATGATTGAAAGAGAATTTATAATGGAATTTTTTTATTTTAGAATCAGCTTAATGAATATTAGGGAAAATGTGGGAATGAAACTATACGACTCTAGCAGAAATGTTATCAGGAGCTATGTATATTTGAAAACTAAGATTTAAGTCTTAAGGTACTTAGGGGTAAGATAAGGTTAAATAAATTAGTATAATTTGAATAACAGAATATGGGAAAAGATGGAAAGGATTTGTTGAGTTAATTATTAGGTTAAATTGTTAAGATAAAATTTATAACAAAAATTGAGAAAGATGGAAAGAATTTGCTGAAATAATTATTAAACTAGAATACAAAAAGGGAGGTGTGAGGAGGTCAATGAAACAAGCAAATGGAAATTATGGATATGCAATTTGGGATTTGTGGTTTTTTTCTTCTTTTTTCTTCTTTTTTACTGTTTTTTGCTGTATTGTCGTATATTTTGCGCTTTTCTCTTTTTTATTTTTTTTCTTTGTTTTTTTTTGTATTGTAGTGTTGTGGTTTTTTATTTTTTATTTTTCTTGTAATCCTGAAATTATCAATAAATATTATTTTTTTAAAAATGAAAGGGATGCAGACTTCATGAGCCTGTTGGTGCCATTTGTGTGTGAAAAAGAGTTTGCAAGCAAAAACACCTACACATCCACACAAAAAAAGTATTAGAAAAGGTGTGTATGTATATATTGAGGTGTGTGTTTTTCCTCCAGTTCTCTCTGTTTCCAATTGTTATCTCTGAAGAGCAAACACTTTCGCAGATTTGATGCCTAGTGCACACGTCTCAGCATTTGGTAGAATGATGCAGCCTGAAGTCACAGAAGTCTCCGTTTGCCATCTTTCTCTTTTCATTCCTTCAGCCCCTTTCTTCCATTTTGAAATATTTGTTTGCGGTGGGATAGGGAAGCAGATGAGGCCAATCCTTTCAGGAGAGAAACACCCATACATTTTGCCTCTGTTGCCATGGAAAGGTCTCTCCTGCATCAGTTGCTTGGGTGTGCCTTTTCTTCTTCTCAGTCTGTGCCCTGGCCTGTGGTGATCCCACTCCCTAGTATTCAACACTAATTGCATACATAACAATAATAAAAAAGTTGCATTCTTTCTGACTTCAGTGCAGTTTATGTGCAATTGATATCATACCTCCAGACATGTTTTTCTTCCAAGCAAAATTTCTCACTTTCTCTTTGCACCCAGCCTGTCACATCATTATTTTCAAACTCACTCTATCTTTTTGTGTGCGAGAGAGCGAGAGAGCACATCTACAAGATGCTGCCTGTGATTTGGCTGAAGCTGGGAGTAACAACAAAGTGCATCTGACTGTCTGTCTCTCCTCCCACTTCCAGCATCTCTCTCTTTCTCTATAGAGCTTGGGCTGCCATCTGGTCAATGCTATACCTGTCTCACTCTTCTTTGCTAACTTGTTATTTTTTTCTTTCTTTAAAAAATCTCTACCTCAGTGCTAGACAAAAGTTATTTAAATATGTAGATTCAATTTTATTTCAACCCTTTGGGTAGCAAGTCCCCCAGTTACACGGAAAGAAATTTGGGGGAAGTAGGGTGCGGAGGAAGCGTGGGAAATGAGTGGCTGGCTAAGCAGTGGGTGGATTCCAGGCAGAAATCCTCCAAGGCAGAAATAACCAACGTGGTGCCCTCCATATGTTGCTGGACTGTGCCATCAACTGTGACTGCTAGCCATGCTGGATGAGGCTGATGGGAGTTGTAGTCCAACAACACCTGGAGGGCACCATATTGGCTACCCTCAGTAAGGGGCAAAACTATCCAACATTACTGAAGACAAATGGCTATTTTTAATGGGAAGCAACTGAGTGGAGAGGCATTTAATGTCTAGCATCTTTCAACTACATTCTGAAGCGAAGCTGCATTCCTGAATTCCTACCACCTAGTCCTCTGCTATGTGTAGATCCAGACCCAGGCCTTGGGTTTCACAGTAAAGGTAAAGGTACCCCTGACCATTAAGCCCAGTTGTGGACGACTCTGGGGTTGTGCGCTCATCTCGCTCTACAGGCCAAGGGAACTGCCATTTGTCCGCAGACAGCTTCTGGGTCATGTGGCCAGCATGACTAAGCTGCTTCTGGCGAACCAGAGCAGCTCACGGAAATGCCATTTACCTTCCCGCTGGAGTGGTACCTATTTATCTACTTGCACTTTTTGGCATGCTTTCAAATTGCTAGGTTGGCAGGAGCAGGGACCGAGCAAAAGGAGCTCACCCCATTGTGGGGATTCGAACCACTGACCTTCTGATCGGCAAGCCCTTGGGTTTCATAGAATAGCTACTAATTATTAGTTCTCATTGATAGAATCTAGAATGTGAAAGTTCTTTTTTCCTACACAGTAATCCACATCTGTTTCCAGTGTTCAGACTGACAGTGTCAATGCTTATGTAGCCAGTATAGCACTATCCTTACCCATGAAGGAGACATCAGTAGGCCTGTGGGTGGGGAAATTCCACAGTTTGCAAAAAAAATACACATACACACTACTTAGAGGAGGGGGTATGAAAGTGGGGAAGTTCTGTGGGGGGGAAATGCAGCACAGTGAGCTGTTTTCTGTAGCCCACTGATTGTCAGCTGGGGGGTGGGGTTGCATGTGTATTATATGGAACAGCTACATCCATAGCATATATTTAAAACACTATCATACCATCTTAACAGTCGTGGGGAATTTTTGGGAACTGTAGTTTGTTTAGGGTGCTAAAAATTGTGACTCTGTTAAGTCAGCATCCTCAACAAGCTAAAGTTCCCATAATTCTTCATGAGTGATAAAGTGGTATAATGCTGCTTTAAATGTATGCTGTGGATATGATCAGAGAGTCTGGGATTCTGAGTAGGGAGCACTCCACATTACAACATCTTGTTGCATGTTTCACTTGTATGACTGTACATCTGTTAGACTTCAAGGTGCCACAAGACTCAACAGGTTAACAGAGCCATCCTTCTAATTCTTTTTTTAAATAAGTTTTTTATTGGATTTTACAAAGTAATATTTACATTCACAATCATAGATTAAAAAAAAAACCAAATAAATGAGATTCTTCCAAATCTTTAGCCTTCCCTCCACCCCCTGTGGGTTCTTTATTTAACTTTTTCTAGGACTTCCGGGTTGGCGCCATCGGTAATGGCGGACTCCCTCTGATCCGGAGGGACTGGCTCTACGGAAATTGGGTCTGTTCCGCTACGGCGAAGCGGGGACCCTTTAAAAAATCACAGGCGGGTG